CTGTGTCAAAAGAAAAAAAGAAAAAAGTATACCCAGTGCACAGGGACTGGTTTTCAAGGCAGGCTCCCTCATTCTTCATGAACAGACCATCACAAAAACATCACCCAAGCTGAGAAGGCATCTCACAGACCCTGAGAAACACACCCCATGAACCCCAACTGCTTTTTGTGGAGACACTCCTCTGTTTTGTAACAAGCAGCAACCTGATGCTCAGGCCCTGGTCTCCAGCAGACAGTGTGATTGACAGTGGGCTTCGGGATTGGAGGTGGGGCTTCTGCCCAAGGTGGGGAGTGAGCACAGCTGCACTGGGCTGTGCTGAGCACTTTACAGGGAGGTCACATTCCAAGCTTGCCTGCAGCAGTCTGAGGAAGAGATTTAGGATGTGTGTGTGTGTGTGTGTGTGTGTGTGTGTGTGTGTGTGTGTGTTTGAGAGAAGCAGGAGGCTCAGGATCTTCCCAGAGCTGTGGAACCTTACGCACATCCCGCTCTCTTGTATGGAAGCCTCCCATGTTCCCAGGGCTCCCTCTCCCTCTCCTAGCCATCTGGAGTGAGAGGCCCCTGGGCACAGCCCCACACCCAGAGCCCTGACCAGAATGTATGCAGCTGACAGGAAGCCATCTCTTGTATGGAAGCCTCCCATGTACCCAGGGCTCCCTCTCCCTCTCCTAGCCATCTGGAGTGAGAGGCCCCTGGGCAGGATGGCTGAGGGCTGTTCGCAACATTGTCACCAGCAACAGTGCTCGTGGTTGACACTAAGTTAATTTTTGATGAATGATGCGTGGAACATGACTTTGTAAAATGAAATTTGATTTTAAAGGATAAAATGAAAAACCCCAAACAGGTTTGATGTGAAGCATCTACTGTGGGAGGCTTTTCTCAGTTCAGTCCAGTGAGAACACAGGCCTCCTGCTTGTCTGTCGCTCAGCTGACCAAGGCACAGAGCACATAGCATGAAATCTTGCATTTGCTCGTTGATGGTTATTGCAGACCCTCTATTTGTTTACAGTTCCTCCGTTAGAAATCCAGCCTTGGTGTGGACATGTCCCCAGTCTGGATTTAATGAAGCTGTGTCCTCCAAACCAGGCAGCTTGTGCGCAGACTGCGCTCCTTAGAGTTTTCAAGGAGCTCCCCTTTCCTTGCTGGCTGTCAGGGTGTCAAGGGGGAGGACTGAGGCCAACTCACCATGGCCCAACTCTATGGGCAGTGCATACTCAAAGCCCACAGTAGAAGAAATCTCCGTGGATTCCTCTCACAGGGCAGGCCTCTTTGCTCAGGTACACGCATTCCTTTTAAGGACTCCCTGGTTAGCACAGTCCTTCAGATTAGGTTAGCTAATGAGGAGTCCTGATTACATCTGCAAAGTCCCTTGAGAGCAGGATCTGGCAGCATTTGATGGACTAGCCTGGAAAGAGGATAGTGCAGTTGGGCACGGAGGAAGCCTGCAGAAATGAGACCAGCTCTGCTGAGTTCCTGGACGTGTGGGCAGCTAGTCACACTTCGATTTATGAGGGTCAAATACTGGATGGTTGAAGGTGATAAATCCTTCCAATTTAGCCAGGAGATTTTTAATCTAAAAATTAAGACCTAACAACATACTTTCTTATAATAACTTAGAGGAAATTAAAAAGTGTGATAATCTTTCTGCTTGGAAGCTGGGCTAGTTATCCACTGCCCCATAGTAAACACCCAGGCTCAGCAGCTGGGAACACCAGCCATTCATTATGTCCCACAGTGTGTCACTTCAGGAATCCCAGAGTGCTCCTGGCCCAGGGCTGCTCCCAGAATACAGTCCAGGTGTTCCCAGGGCTATGTCCTCTCAGGGCCTGACTGGGGATGGGGTCCCAAGGGACATGGCTCCCTCATGTGGCAGTTGGAGAGGATTCAGCTCCTTGAAGCCTGGTCCCAGGAGGCCTCTGCCTGGGTCTGTCTCCAGATGAGAGAGAGAGAGAGAGAGAGAGAGAGAGAGAGAGAGAGAGAGACTCTTACTTACCTGGGTCTGTCTCCAGATGAGAGAGAGAGAGAGAGAGAGAGAGAGAGAATGGAAACTGCAAGCTGTAGGAGCCCCTTGTCCAACCCCAGCTCACAGTCCATCACTCCAGCCTCCCTCCATCAGGGGAGGGGAGTAAGCAGGTGCAGCTCCCTGTAGAGCAGGGAATGACGTCACTCTGCAAGGGAGGAGCAGAGAGGAAGCTGCAGATGGTAAGAACCCAAAGTCCAGTCCAGTACTGCAAAGGGCTGTGAGTCAGCCGTGTTCATCTAGTCATCTTTTTTTTTTGGTCTTTTTGAGACAGGGTCTCCCTGTAGCCCCAGCTGGCCTGGAACTCACTAGGTAGACCAGGCTGGACTTGAGCTCACAGAGACCCACCTGCCTCTGCCTCCTGAGTGCTGGGATTAAAGGTGTGCGCCACCAAACCCAGCCCATATCTAGCCATCTTTTAATGATGCTTTAATATTTTTGGAAATATTTTAAATTTGAGAAAAAGAACGACACCTTTAATCCCAGAACTTGGGAGGCAGAGGCAGGCAGATCTCTGTGAGTTTGAGGCTAGCCAGGTCTACATAGGGAATTCCAGGCTAGCTAGGGCTACAGGGAGACCCTGTCTCAGAAATACCAAAAAAAAAAAAAAAAAAAATTGAGACAAAGAAAGAAGACACACAAGTCTTCTGCTTTTTTTTCTTGAAAACAACTTTACAACAACATTCCCTTTAATCATTGCAACAACGTCCAGAACACACAGTTACTGGCCAAGCAGACCCTACACTGGTGTGCAGAGACATTGTCTTCAAAGTGTTAACAGTGAGCTGGAGAGATGGCTCTGCTGTTAAGAGCTCTGGCTGCCTTCCCCTGTGACCCTGTGATCTCAGACTCTGGCCACATGTGGTCCTACTAAATGAGAATTTCAAAAGAGCAGAGGAGGTGACAGGGCTGAGGGGTGATCACATCCAAGGCCAAAATGGACTGAGTTCCAGCTGGGCATAGCCCTGTCCACATGCAGCTCCCACAGCCTCCTCCTGTCCCACTGGCCATTCAGCACAGTGAACACAAATTCCAGAAGTTTCTCAATGTTACCATTTATTTCTTCCACCTAATTTCAGAAATGTTCTCCTTTAATTAACCCACCAACCTCACAGGTAAAGGATTTGAACATCAACTTCATATTCAGATTCTTATTATCAGTGGGAAGTGAGACGCTGCAGCTCAGTGCAGCATGGAGCTGACAGGATGGAGACGTCCCCGCCCCCCTGTGCTGGAACAGGAAGGCCGGCTGTGGAAGGGAACACCAGACAGAGCAGGGACAGGGGTCCTGCTGGGCAGGGCTGGGCTGGTCTCCCCAGGTCTTCACACTGCACACAGGAGAAAGCAGACATCTTTGAAGAGACACTGCCGCCAAAGACAATCCAGTGGCTCTTGAGGGAGAGACTTGAACACATCTCCTGTCCCTCAGTCCCCACAGGGCAGCTGTCTCAAGCTGAAGAACAAGAGTCATGAACAGTCTATAAAGACAACACCACCAACTCCCGCCACTCACTCAAAGGTCCAAACTCTGAGAGTCCCTGTGACCCAGTCCTGTCCCCTTTGCCCACCCCCAGCCCAGGCCCTCAAGGTGTCACCTTTACAAGCATCCAGAGACAGGTCAGAGCTCTGGGTACTGTCACTGTCTGCAGAGAAGAAACACCAAGTCACACTCAGAACCAGAGAGGATGAGGTAGAGGAGGAATTATGGGCTGGCTGACTCCTCATGGGCTCCATCTCCACCCCAAGGGCCTCAGGGATCCTCCCTCTCCCCACACTGACCTGGAGCCTGAGCATAGCTCCCTCCTTTTCCACCTGTGAGAAGAAAATTGGTGAGACCAGGGAAGTCCTGGACCCCAGGAATGTTCCAGAACTGTGACTGCAAATCCACAGAAGGGTCAGGAGGTATGAGGACAGGAGGTACAGGGACTTAACAACTGCTCTCCTGGGGGTCTGTCCTCATAGGGACCTTCTCCCTCTGACCTCTCACCTCTGAGTTCAGGTCCCCATGTCTACAACCCTCATTCCTTGTTTAATATGAAGTCAGTGAGAGGACACAGACCCAGACTGGGCATATTGCTGGGGGGGGGGGCAGGGGAGGGGGCTTCCATTACTGAGGCAGAACACACTTCTAAATGTGAATGAGAAAGAAAACCCAGACCCTGCCCCTCCCTACCTGTGTTCCTCCTCCTCACAACAGCCACCACAGCTCCGATGACCACAACTCCAAGGAGAGCCACCAGGCCAGCCACGATTGCCAAGATGGGGATGGTGGACTGAGGAGGCTCTGGGAAGGGAAGGGAAGGTGAGGGCCTGACCCCAGCTCTCAGCCCTGACCCTGCTCAGGGTCTCCAGAAGGCTCCTGCTTTCCCTGACAGCAGGCTCTGTGCCCACACCCCTCCTTACCCCATCTCAGGGTGAGGGGCTCAGGCAGCCCCTCATGCTGCACATGGCATGTGTATCTCTGCTCCTCTCCAGAAGGCACCACCACAGCTGCCCACTTCTGGAAGGTTCCCTCCCCTGCAGGCCTGGTCTCCACAGGCTCCATGTCCTGGGTCAGGTCCTCCCCATCCCTCTGCCAGGTCAGGGTGATGTCAGCAGGGTAGAAGCCCAGGGCCCAGCACCTCAGGGCGACATCACCTTCATGTCTGGGGTCATGGGTCAAATATGCCTTTGGTGGATCTGAGGTTAACAGTGGAAAAGTTATGGATTCTGCCTTCTTCCTAGAGAGCCATCAGAATTGGTGTGAGAGAAGGACTGAGACTCAACACCAAAGCATAAATTGAGGCTTCTTGGATAATTTATTTTTGGAAAGTTCTAGACTCATGTTGAGCCAGCCCCAGGTTTACCACCAGGAAAAACACACTTCTGGTCCTGACTAGGTGAAGACTGAGAGACTCAGCATCATGGGATTCAGACCTCCAAAGACACTAGGTGAGAGTCTCAGTACCCCCGGAGCCGTCTAAAGACATTGACTGTGGGCAGAGAACCTTGCCAGGGTTCACAGTGGGCTGCAGATGGACGGGAACTGCTGGCTGGTTATTTCAGGATCTTCTCTCCTATCCTGAGAGACTCTGAACTGTCCTAGAGAAGAGGGAGCCTTGGACAGTCATTCTCTGATGCTGGACCAGGAAACCCAGGAGCATCTTCCCCTCCTGATGCAGGAGAGGCAGAATTCCAGCTGGTTCCATTTTCCTCCCTCCTCAGGAGACATGAGTCCAAGAGCAGATGGAGTATTTACCTGTGGCCCCTCTTACCTGCACGCAGCAGAGTCTCCTTCCCGTTCCTGAGGTATCTGAGGAGCCACTCCACGCACTCGCCCTCCAGGTAGGCCCTGCAGTGCTCTGCCACATCAGCCTCCTCACACTTTTGCCTGGAGATCTGAGCCACCATGTCCGCCGCGGTCCAGGAGCGCAGGTCCTCGTTCAGGGCGAGGTAATCTTTGCCATCATAAGCGTACTGCTCATACCCGCGGAGGAGGCGCCCGTGGGAATCCACATCGCAGCCAGACATCCACTGGATGGTGTGAGAGCCTGACCAAGGCCGGGTGGTCAGCCCCGCCCACACGGCCCCTTGCGGCCCCCCCGCCAAGGTCAGTCCTGCACAGGTATTCCTGCCCACAGCCGGTTTGGACTGAAAGTGAAACCAAAACCCAGTCTGGGTCTCCCATGTCAGGGTCCTCGCGGGACCCACAGCCTCGGGTTCAACCTTGGACCTGGGAACCCGGGGTCACTCACCGTCCTCGCTTTGGTTGTAGTAGCCCCGCAGGGTCTGCAGGTTCACACGGAAAAGCTGTGCGCTGATCTTGACTCTCTGCGTCTCCCGCTCCCAGTACTCCGGCCCCTCCTGCTCCATCCACTGGGCGCGCAGCTCGTATCTCGGATATTCCGCGTCGCTGTCGAAGCGCACGAACTGCGTGTCGTCCACGTAGCCGACAGAGATGAACCGCGGCTCCTCCAGACCCGGCAGGGACACGGCGGTGCGGAAATAGCGCAGCGAATGAGAGCCTGAAGTTGTGTCTGTGTGTTGGGTGGGTGTGCGGTGAGATCCCGGGACAGGGGCGCGGCCGCGGGGGGCGCGGGGAGGAGAAGGAGCCGGGCAGGGGCGCGTGTCTCAGGTGGAGAAGGAGCCCTGCCGAGCAGCCCAGCTGGGCTCTTTCCCTCACTTACCAGCGCGGGTCTGGGTCAGGGCCAGGACGACGGTGAGCAGCGGGAGGAGGGCGCAGGGTTCCATCGCCCCCATTCTGGAGACTTGGGAACACTCTGAGTCGGGCGGGTCCGCCTGGACTTTACAACCTGTGCCCAGGCAACAATGATCTCTCTAGGAAGGAACACCCAGTTGTTACAGACTTTCAGGACTCAGTGATCTCTGGTCACAGTCCACAGTGCTCAGGTCTTTGCACCAACACAGGCTTCTCCACTGCAGTAGGCGGCTCCTTAGCGCAGCACATCGCACAGGCCCTGTGTGGGGGTCCTGGTGAGGGTCCCGCACTGGGGGAGGAGGGTGGGATGCGGTGACTTAGAGGATCTCCTGCTGGAGGCGGTGCAGCTCCTGGAACCTGGAGTTGATTCTCCTGAGAAGTTGTGCATCACAGAGTGAAGATCCCGAGGACACAGGCGCTTCCAGCTCCACCTGGAGCACTGGCTGTTCTCCCTCCAATGCAGTCCTTATGCCAGGGCGGCAGGGGCAGCTGCTGGCGCAGGGGCAGCCCAGATGATTTTGCGGCTCGCGAGCTCATGGAGCTCGGGTGGAACTGCTCCTGCATCATATTCAGCACAGTGTGGCTGGAAGCCGCCCTGGTTCCTAAGGACTGTCCAGTCCCAGGCTTGTCCCTGTCGCTTTGGTCCTAGATTCCATCAATCCCTAGGTGGGGACAGCAGGCAGGGGAGGACTTGAGGTTGGAGCCAATGCACTGATGGATGGGGACGTCCTCCCAGTCCCGTCACACAGCGGTCACGTGGATCTGCGGACAACCAGGTTTTCTCCATTTTCACTTTCCTTTCCCTTGTTGACTCTGGAAGCCAGCGCTGTCACTTGAACACTTGCCTGTGCACCCTGCACTCTGGAGGGGAATCCACTGAAAATGCATTTGCAGGAACAGAAAGGGAAGTTGTCCCGTCTGTTCCCTCAGTGAACACAGGAACAGGACTCTCACTGCCACATGGACCCTGAGCAGGGGAAGGCTGGCTGAGGATGACCACTGAAAACCATTCTTGGAGGCCGGTGTGTGCCTAGGACTCAGCTTGAGTCTGAAGACGTCGGTGCGGTGCAGAGCCTGGCACAGGGTCTGAACTCCTCCCTCCTGGGCGTCAGGACTGACCCTTCCTGTCCCAGCTCCCACCCCAAACTCTGGACCCTACAGCCTTCCCCTGAATGTCCTGTCCTTGTCCCTGTGGCCACCCTTGGCTTTGACTCCACTTTTAGATCAGGTATTCATAAACCAGAAGGCACACGTTAATTCCACACAAATCATGCTGGAGCGATGCTAAGAGCACATGTTGCTCTTCTAGACCCTGGAGTTCATTTCCCAGCAGCCATGTCAAATGACTCACAACTGTCTACACCTCTAGGTCCAGGGGTATCTGACATCTCTGCCCTCAGGGGTCACCTGCTCTCACATGCACATACCCAAACGCATACACATAATTAAAAATACAATAAATCTTTTAAAGTATTCCACAAAACTTCTCAGTACCAGAGTGGGAGGTGGTCACTCTATCCTTAGCAACAGTGTGGCTGGAGGATGCAGGTACTCTGGTGGGTATGAAGTGCTGGGTGGGGCTTTAAAAACATTTATAATTTTTATTTTATGTGTATGAGTGTATTGCCTGCATGCATGTAAATGCACCTATGGTCTACAATACCTGCGGAGGTCAGAAATAGGATACTCTGGAACTGGAGTTAAGGGCAGTTGTAGTTGCCAAGTGGGTGCTGGGAATCAATCCAGGTACTCTGCAAGAACAGCCAGTGCTCCTAACTGCTGAGAATTCTCTGCAGCCCCCGCCACTTTTTTAAAACTAGGTGAGTGAGGCTTTTTCCTGAGTTCATAAATGTGTCCCTGGAGACTCCTGACTGACAGCAAGAAGAGCCCCTCCCTCCATCCTGAGGCTGGTGGGTGGGGGAGGCACAGAGGACCTGGTGAGAAATGGGGTGTAAGTCAGGGAGCCACGTGGGAATGCCACACCCCTGTGTGCCTAGGAGACATGAGCATTTTCTTCCTCCTTTAAAAACAATGCAGAGAACAAGACAACCGCCAGGTAAGAAAAGGTTCTAGAAGGATCCAGGTGTGCTCACATAGTGCAGTGTTGTGGAGTGTGAAGTGTCCGCACTGAGTTCTTTCCACAGGGCTGGTTCTGCAGGGAAAGCAGGCAGGTGGACGCCCCACTGCTCACAGGTAGCAATGCTGCCCTGACTTCCCTACACTAAAGATAGAAACAACTGACAATTAAACTGAGGCACCTTGTCACAGTAACAGGTTTTAGAACAGAGCCAGCAGCCAGCCCTGGGCCCTCCTCTCCCTTTCTCTGAAAAGAACCTTGCATCCTCATTCACAGGGAGTCAGGCCTGTGGGCCCAGCTGCCTTCAGTCCACAGCAGGCCCTGTGACCAGGCTGCCCTGCAAGGCAGCAGCCAGGAGAACCCCAGTGTTCACCTGCACCAAGGCAGAGTCAGGGAGACTACACTGCACTTCAGAAGGACCCAGCAGGACCCAGCAGGGCCCAGGAAAGCAAACCCTACAGGGACCACCTCACAGAATGTCAGGGCTAAGCAGTCTTTCTGGCCTCAGAAAGATCTTGGGTCCACAGTGCTGAGATCTTTGACCAGCACCAAATATCTCTACCTGAGGTAGGTGTGGTATGGGGCATGGGTCTTGGAGAGGAGCCAGCACTCAGGGCAGGACAGGATGCTTATGATTAGTGTATCTCCAGCTGGAGGCGGTGTAGCTCCTAGAACCTGGAGTTGATCTGCTACCCCTAGAAGTCACTCAGCTCAGAGTGAGGTTCCCACAGACACAGGCACTTCCTGCTCCACTGCAGAGCACCAGGCAGTCTCCTTCCAGAGCTGTCCTTATGCAATGGCAGCATGGCCAGCTGATGGCTCAGGTGTAGTCCCTCTGGGCCTTGCCTGGGACACTGGGGCAACAGCAGGCACAGGCATCTGGAGGATGGCGTTGCAGCCCAAAATTCCCCCAGGCCATGAGCTCCACATGGGAGATGGTTCATGGCGAACACTAAGATCGATGGCACCAGGAGCCTATGGGGCTCCCAAGGGACATGCAGCCATTCATGGCACCAGGAGCCTATGGGGCTCCCAAGGGACATGCAGTCATTGCCATGGCCTCTGCCCACCCTGAATCCCTTCAGATCCTGGGACAGAGCAAAAGTCAGAATGGAACATGGGGAGGGTGGGTTTCCCTGCACACCGCACCTCCTCCAGCACCAGATCCTTCTGTGGCTCTTAAACTGATAAAAGCAGAGAAATTTTGTATATCACAGGATACTGTGTGATGTTTCCACATGTGAATACTTGGTACCACGTTCAAATCTGATTAAACAAATGTCAAATGTTATTTATTATTTATTTCTGTATTCTTTCACAATTTCACAGTTTCACAGCTGCTCCCCCACCAGAGAAGAACCAAACCGGAAGGCAGCTGACGGTGTCTCAGCCCCCACAAGCCACCAGCCTGGAACCCTGCTTTTCCCAGGTTTGCTGAGAAGGGGGGCGCAGAAAGCTGGGCAGCCACCTGCAAACACTGGCTCTTGGGAAGACGCTGCCAGCAGGGGAAGGTGGACACACAGAAGTGAGGACAGGAAGATGCAGACTGAGCCCCTCACCCTGGCCTGGAGCACCAGGAACTGGTTCTTGCTGGAGAAGCCCCATCATCAGGATGGTTGGACTAAGAGGGCAGGTGGGGAGGGGACCTCATGTCTCTCCTCTCTGATTTCCTCTGGCACACAGATGGGGTGCTGTTCTTGCTCAGGGTGACTCAGCCCTCCCTGCTAAGGCAGTGATGGCAACAGGTGTCAGGGCTCCTGTGAGGAAGCCTGGACAGTTGGCCCAGCTCTGCCTGCAGCAGGTTTGGAAACAGGGGGCTCCTGGAACTGGAGGAGAAGAGAATCCAAGTGTCCTGTTCTCTAGCTGCCTGCGATCCATGCATCTGATCCAGGACTGTGCCCTGATCCCTGTCCTGCAGAATGAGGGCTCTTTGTCACATCCTTACCCATCTCTGGACTTCTGGATAATCTGAGTCCTAACTCTTGTGTCTTCAGTTTGTAACCTGGAACCAGGGCATCCCAGATAGCAGGCTCTAGGAGCTGACAACCAATGGGAGTGAGACCTGAGAACGCGTCATCTGTGTCCAGGCAAAAGTACTCATATGTGTTAAGGGCAGACTTGAAACTAGAAGATGAGGAATCCACCGTACTAGGCTTTCCCACCACAACCCACCCTCAGGCCTGATGCCCTGAGAGCCCAGTAAGAGGCCGGGGACTTCCCCTGACCCAGTCCTGCACTGTCTGCTCCCCTCCCCCACCTCATTTCCAGAGCCCTTCCAAAGTGTCAGGATCTCTCCCCACTCTGTGAATTAAGATGAACCATGGGGCAACTTTGTTTATGTGAGTTACATCTGTCACTATTCACACTTTACAAATTAAAACCTCTGAAGCAGAGTGAGGGGACCCGCACCTGAAATCCCAGTTTTCACTTGATGTGGAGACAGGAGGAGAAGGATTCTGAGGAATTCAGGGTCATCCTCAGCTGCCCATGGAGTTCCAGTCCCAGCCTGGGCTGAGAGATATACAGACAGAGATAGATATTGAGATAGAGAGATAGATGGATGGAGGAAGGAGGAGGGAGGAGGGGAAAGGGAGGGGAGGACAGGGAGAGTTATCTTACTGATCTGTTTATTTATAGTTATGCTTTGGATGTTGACAGAAATAATATTTTCAGAAAAATAACTTTTTTAAAGTAAAAATACAGGGAGAATGAATTTTCCTTAAGGCTTCACAGCTTTGTAACTTCTTTTCCAGTTTATTGGATAATGACCAGATTTTCATATGTA